AAACCTTGGGTCAGGTGCTATCTCTGACACATCCTGGCTGTGGGATCCTCAGCAGATCATTCAGCCTTCCAGGGCTTTAGGAAACTCAGGTGCTCACCTGCATTGGTGGAGGAAGATTCCTTCTCTGGGAGTCTCCCATATTAGTGAAATAGGAGGTCCAGTCCCTGTATCTATACCTATGGGTCCTCACTATTTAAATGTACACTGTTGATAAAATAACCACTCCCCAGAATTCTCCCTTTAGCATGCTATGCTGACCACCCTAACCTTTACTTCTTGAAGGCAGGTAGAGTCCATTTTTACCCCTCCCCCAGGGTTCTTCCAGTCCCTTTAAAGGGATTAGGGAAGGGGTGCACCTAGGATCTCTGCCAGTGGCTCCACCACCAATTATAAAGATGGCTCCCCTTCACCTCAGTTCTGTTTAGCCAACAGTCAGATTAGTTTACTTTAAAAGGTATGGTTACAAATACACAATTTATTGCCCAACATATGGGGCTTAATACTTCCCCCTATACTCCTTCAGTCTCTGGAGAGGGGAAGGGATTAGGTTTATACCATAACTCAGTTCCTGTAGAAGACATTCCCAGTTCCAAGTCCAAAATGACCCTTGGGTTTGAATTCCAGGCTTTCTGGCCTCTCTGAGCTTCCCTGCTGAACTGGTTGGCTGCAACATCACTCCTTAAATCTTGGCTCCAAAGTCACCATGGCTTAAACTCCCAGGTCTGGTGGAAGCTGCTTCTGCCATCTGAAACTGAGGACGAACAACACAGAATAAGCATCCCAGGCCCATTTCTCAGAGTGAAGGTAAAACAGGGGGTGGCAGTAAGGGAAAGGCACCCACTCTCCAGGTTCAGTTCAGGACAAGGCACCTACACTGCGACTCAGCTGTGATCTCTACCATCTGGACGCATCAGGAAAGTTTTAAAGACACGGCCTGGTGACTTAGCCAATCACGGGAGGCCATTCCTATCCACATTCTAGGAAAATGTAGGCTACGGCGTGCCTCCGTGGGAGGTAATGCCCTAACCCAGGACGAGCCCCTTACAAGCAAATTTTAATTTTCACGTTTAGATCGGCTTACAGACATATCTCTGTTTTGTATAAGCTTTGACAGGTCACGTCTTCCCTTGGCCTCAGTTTCCCTTTAGGTAAGAATAAGATTCCTTCTGGCTCTCATAATCGATGATTCTCAAATCTGTTTGACTTTATCATAAGAGATGTCTCACAAAGGGGAAGTCATCTGTAAATATGTGTAATATTTTTTAAAACTACATCAATAAAACTAAAAGTGGGAAAAAATAAATAAGGATCCAGTGAGTGAAAATAGGGATACAGAGAGAGAATTTCCCTTCTATTCTTTTGTTTAGCAGAGAGGAGCTAGGTTAAGGTAGAGAATTATGGTGCCAATGTCAACTAGGTTTTGTGTCACCTGGTATAGACTAGAAAGCATACTATTTTCTTCTGCTACCTAACACCCCATTCCGATTCATCCCTATTCTTTCTTCTTTTCATAGAAGTTTTTTTTTTTTGAGGTAATTTGGGTTAAGTGACGTGCCCAGAGTCACAAGTCTAGTAAGCTTCTGAGGCTGGACTTGAGGGCTTTATCCACTGAACCACCTCGCTGCCCCTTCATAGAAGTTTTAATAGTTGGGTCAGTAGAAAAAGAGCAGGAGGGACCTCTCAGCAGCTTTCTAGTTCCAACTTTCCTTTTTTGCCATTGCATTAAGCTACCCAATTTATATGTATGTATGTATGTATGTATGTATGTATGTGTATGTATGTGTGCAAATGTGTGCGAATATACATAGACATACATACATACATGTGTGTATATATACATGTGTGTGTGTGTGTGTGTGTGTATATGGACCTGCACAGGGGAAAATTGGTATACCCTGGAATAGCATACTCATATTTAAGTTGTGTAGAAGGGAACTTAACACTTTATTCTTTAGACTAAATCAAATCCAATGAAACAACTGGACTATGTCATCAATTTCCTGATGAAGAATTACATTTTCTTCTACAAAACTATCTTGACTTAGTTTCAAAGACAAGTATTGTTTTATGGGACTCAGTGCATGCATACTGACATCATCCTTAAGCTTTTTTTTTTTTTTTCTAAATCCTATAGCCCTCCTGAAATCTCCCAGGATCTTCTGTCAATCATCAATACTCCTGCCCTCTCCCCAGCTTCACCTTTGGCCATATCCTCCCCATCCCATTCCCCAATACCATCCTGGGACGCAAACCAAAGGAAAAAAAAAGAAAAAACAGGGGAAGAGTGTATTTTTGAAAATTTTATTTTATTAAAACATTCTCACCTAGGAAAATTGGGAAGCACTAGAAAATATAGGAAATTTACAGCATACAACAAAATTAAGTAAGGAGAGGGGCAGCTAGATGGTGCAGTGGATAGAGCACCGGCCCTGAAGTCAGGAGGACCTGAGTTCAAATCTGGCTTCAGACCAAACACTTGACACGTACTAGCTGTGTGACCTTGAGCAAGTCACTTAACCCCGATTGCCTCACTTAAAAAAAAAATTAAGTAAGAAACATTTAGCATAGAAATGAATGGGAAAATGTAAAGAGAAAAATATTAAAAATCATTATTTCTTTCACTTATCTTGTTATTGTGACATATTCTTCTCAACACCTTGGGTTGTACCCCTATCTTTTTTTTTCTCCTGTCAATAGTTTCTATTAGATTGAAAGATTTTGAACAGAAAAGATTTATTTTGAAACACTATGATCCTATGAAGCACTTTTAATCAATATAGTCACCCTGTATAATGATACACACAGGGTAGTCAAGTTCCCACAACCTATGGGCTAAGTTTTATGATGCACTGATTATAAATAAGTCAAAAAAACACATTCTGAAACAGAAGAAAGTCTTACCTTCATGCTTCACATGTGCCCCCACCAGGTCCTTCCTAGAAGCTCAGCCCTGATCACTCCTTTCTAGCAGCAGCACTGCTTCTTACAGCAGCATTTCTGCTGGCAGCAGCCCTTGCCACAGCCACAACCACAAGAGCCACAGCCACAGGACCCACAGGAGCCATAGCGGCAGGTGCGCCGGCAGCAGACAACGGTGGGGCTGCAGCAGCCTCCACAGCAGCCACAGCAGCAGGGGCAGCAGGCAGAACAGCAGCCTACACGGCGGCAGGTACAGGTGGTACAGCTGCCACAGCCGCCACCGCAGCCACAGCCGCCACAGCCTCCACAGCCACCTCCACAGCTGCCACAGCCACCGCCACAGCTGCCACAGCCGCCACAGCCTCCGCCACAGCCACAGCAACCCATAGTGTCAGTACAAAGGTTTCAGGTGAGGTGAAGAGAGAAAGGACTCAGAGGAGGTGAGGGAAGTCTGGTGCTCTCCTTCTGCAGAGCAGCCCTTATATACCATTCTGGGGGGACTTGGTCCAGGGCACAAGATTCATCCTTGTTGTTGTTTACCCTGGTTTCCATGGCAGAACCTCGCTTCGTATTGTTTGCTTCCTTACCAAATACCTTCGGCCTCATTAAATCACTTATTTTAGCTTTTGCTAAATTTACTTGTTTTGAGTCACATTTGCAATGGGAACAAGAAATGACAAATATTTAGTGACCCTTTAACTCTGTGGAGACTTGCCTATCAAGTGAAAATTCAATTTTGATGTGGAAACCTAAATCAGGAGAGGCAGCTGAATTATCCGGTCTCCATTTTCATTGTCAGGCAGTGTCCTCTCTGGCCCTTTGAGATTGAAAGTTAGAAGGGACCTCTAGTCTAAAACCTTTATTTGACAAACGAGTCAACTGAGGCCCTGAGAGGTCATGGGAACCCACCTGTGGCCACAAGGGCAGTGAAGGTCAAAAGCAGCAGCAGAATCTGAATCCTCTAAATCTAGACATTACTGTTTCCACTGCACCACACTGCCTCCTAGACCTAGGTGATCTCGAAAACAATTTCCAGGTCTGAAGTATTATGTTCCCATAAATTCCTTCCACATTTTAGTGGAAAGAACAATATGTAAGCATTCAAAAATTAAAAGTTTTCTTCCATTCCTGACACGCATCCCCGCCCCCCCCCCCAAGACACCATTTCTATTATAGTACATCTGGTCTGGGGATGCAGAGAACCTAAGGTCTCTCAGGTGCTCTGCTATTCTAGTTTAGATTTACAAGGAGAAAAGACTAACATCGAAAATCTTGGGACAAAGGCTAGCAAAAATAACAACAACAATAATAATAATAGGTAATTACAGGAAGCCTGAGACTACAGATCACGTTGGTCCCAGGATATCTCTGTAACATAAGCTGTATAAAATGTAAGCAAATTTCCTGACTAAGCTTGGACCTGGTGAGAGGTGATAAAGATAGTAGTGTAGGAGCAGGAAGAAAGAAATGCACTATGACCCTGGGAAATCCAGTCCAGCCTTGGCCTCCAGTTACTATGTTCTGTTCTTCCTGGTAGAACTTACTCTTGAGACTACCCCCTACAAAAAGGCTTCCCTGATCTCCTCAGTTGCTTGTGATTTTTCCTTCCTCAAATAATCATAGGTCTAGTTTTCTGTTTACATCTTATATCCTCTGGAGTGGAATGTAAACTCCTTGAGGGAACGAACAATTTGTGTTTTATCTTTGTGTCCTGATCACCCAGCTCAGTGCCTTGCATACAATAGGCACTTAAGAAATGCTTGTTGGTTTGAAATACTTCAAGAACTCTCATTAAAGAGATGACCACACAAGATTCCAGAAGATCATAGGTGAAGCCTGCTACTCACCTCCTGACCTAGAGGCGATAGACTCAAGGAGTAGGATGAAAATACACATAATTGAATTTGGCAAATGTATGTGTTTGTTTGCCTGACTATGTTTACTACAAAGATTTTTTTTTCTTTTTTATCTGAACGGAAGAGGATAGCTACAGATTGTATTGCTGAAAAAAAAAAGAAAAGAGGAGCAGCTAGGTGGTGCAATGGATAGAGCACTGGCCCTGGATTCAGGAAGACCTGAGTTCAAATCCGACCTCAGACGCATAACACTTACTAGCCGTGTGACCCTGGGCAAGTCACTTAACCCCCATTGCCCAACGAAAAGAAAGAAAAGAGCATCACTGAAACTTTTTTCTAAATGCTCAAAAGGAAACAAACAAGCAAGACAGCTCTGAAAATAACATGTTGAATTTATTATAAAAATCCTTTTTTGAATAAAACAAGCTATATATAATAGGGATTTGAGATTTCACATAAAATACTTTTTACTGTTCTTTGCATGTGAAAATATTAATTTTGTGTGTGTTAAGTTCAGAATTTTTAAAAAATTAAAGAAATGTTTATTGGATTGGATTCGAGAAAACAAGTTCTCTCAGAAGGGGCAAATCTCTTTAGCGGGCAAATAGAAAAGATTCTTCCAAACTGGGTTTAAGTAGATCAGACTTTAAGGTAAGTATCACCTCTTTAGAAAAAAGAGAAATTTTACTGTTTCCCAATTCCCTGTGGGATGGGTACAATATTAAGAGGAAAAGGCTGATATTATTTCTTAAAAATAAACAGTCATTCTCACAGAAGATAGTATAGGACAAGATCAAAAGAAAGTTATTGACAACTAACTTTTTAGGACATCTGATACATTATGCTGTTTCAGGAAAAATACTGTTGTATTTAGTCTACCCAGGGTCATGCATTTATTATGGGAAGGCCCCTACTACACATGTCTGCCTCACAAATATTTACATTGTGTTTTGTGTTTCTATCACATGACAATTCTGCTTCTCATTTCATATATAACACTCAATAGTCTCCTGACTGATAAACATGTCTTTAACATGACATCATACCTTATGGAATTCCCAACAGAATTAATTATTGGAGTGGCTGCTTCTATACTAGTTACTATTTCCTTCTAAAAGTAAACAATATTTAGATGAATGGTATCCTGCTTTTTACATACTATTCAGTAGGAAATATGGCTGTACTAGGAACCTATCATATCTTTACTCATTTCTCTAATATATTTTTCTTCCTTTGTATACTAAGATTGAAAGTAGCCAAAAGTCTGTTTTCAGAATTTGACATCTTACTCCAGAGGATGGAAAAGTGAATTTACTGAATTTGGAATGGAAGTATCAGATGGCCATCAAGAACATTTCTCCTGCACAAGGATTCACATGAAAGTGAGAAGAGGGGAAGAGGTGAAAACCAAGGTGAGAATATAGATGTTCCAGAAGTAAAGGCTGGTTAAAGCCCCACAAAAGGTAATGAAAAGCCATTCAGTTTGCCTTTGTCCAATGGAAACCCTGGGAATTTAGCAATACACAAGCTACTAATTAAATCTATAGAATACCTAAGCACACAACTTGAAAGTGGTTAGTCAGTTTTTCCAGCTCTTGGCCTATGGTGAATTCTTCCACAGTGTCTAATCCAGTGCCTGACTACTTCTATTTAAAAATGTTCTAATATTTACATTATCATTCCCTTTGTTAAAAAGACTTCCTCAATCATTTAATTTTTTTCCTAGCATTTCACTGCAATTTAGGATTTAAAAAAATAACAAGACTGTAAAGTAAAATTTCGTTCTGCCTCTCTCAGTAATTTTAGTTGTCTTACCAAGGTTTCTATTACTAGTGATCCCTCTTCATCCTCATGTGCTTTTCCATTTTCTTTCCCTTCCTCTGCCAGATGGTATGGTGCTTGGAGTACTAGATTTGGAGTCAGGAAAATCCATGCTTAAATCTTCCCTCAGATCTTTAGTAGCTGCATGATCCTAGGAAAGTCATTCAACTTCTCAGCCTGTTTCCTCAGTTGTAAAATGGGGATAATAATAGTACCTACCCCACTGAGTTGTGAAGATCAAATGGGATAATAACATGTGTTAAGTGCTTTGCAAGCCTTAAAGTGCTATGTAGATACTAGTTTTTATTCTTATTCTTATTATTTTGCTTTTATTTTTTTTTTTTGTTTTTTGGTGAGGCAATTGGGCTTAAGTGACTTGCCCAGGGTCACACTGCTAGTAAGTGTCAAGTGTCTGAGGCTGGATTTGAACTCAGGTCCTCTTGTATTATTATTTTTAATGTTATTATCATTATTCCCATGATAGTGAATACAATAATCTTTAAATATTGGTAGATAAGGTTCAGCTAAGGAAATTATGTTTATTTGTGAGATAATTTGACTAAAGAATTCTTGTCGTACCTCATCCTATTCCATGACCCCCAGTGACCAATCATATTGAGCAAGAGTCTCCAACTGTTTGATCTCGATTGGTCAGTAGATTTTCAGACCTGATCCAGCCACACAAATTTCTGACTTCACAGTGGAGGTCACTACTCGGGTATTGTGGCAGGTGAAAGATGAAATGGCTAAGGAAAATATGATTCATTCTTCCAAGCATATCAACTTATCAAGCAATGCATACCAATTGCTTTACAAAGTGGGACCAAATGTTCTCAGTTTAGGCCTGGATCCCAAATACAAGAGTGGGGTGGGGTGGGGGAGACACTTTTATACATTAAAAACAATTTATTGAATAAGGCCAATTCATTAAAAGGAAACAATATAATATTAGGTAATCTGATTTCTAATTGGAGAAAAGATTAGAGACTTTCCAAGTTGAAAGGGGGAGAGCAAATAGGTGCAGTTTTCTGAAGTCAGAAAAAGAGGTGTCCCACTCCCAGCAAGTATCTGTAAGGAGTTTGTTCTATTTTTTAGGCACTGGGGAGCCACTGAAGGTTTTGAGCAGGGAAGTGTTATGATTGGATGTATGGAGTATCATGACTGAATGATTGGAGTAGAACGGTAGAAAGATGATAAAATGATCTGGTGATTGACCAGTTATGAGGTTACTATAACACTCCAAGCAAGAATTAATGAGGGTTGCTACAGTAGAAATAAAAAAGGGAGAAGAGAGGAACATCCATTCTGGAACATGGAAACAATAATTGATTGATCAGTATGGGGCCAATTTTCAGATAAAATGCATGGGTTGCTTGAGATGTACATTTGTGAGAAAACTCATTGCATCACCCTTTGGATCTGACTGGGTTTCTGGTCAACATAACTTGGGTTGGGGCTGCTAGGTGGTGCAGTGGATAGAGCACCATCTCTGGAGTCAGGAGACCTGAGTGCAAATCCGGTCGCAGGCCAGATACTTGACACTTACTATCTGTGTAACCCTGAGCAAGTCACTTAACCCCAATTGCCTCGAAAAAAATTTTAAAAAAAAATTAAAAAAAAAAAACCATAACCTTGGCCTTTGGTTAAGGGTCTCTACGCAGCAGGGAGAATTGGTCCAGTTTCCCAGCCATGCAGAGCTGGGTTCAAACG